ACTGGGCGAAAAATCAAACTTGAGGCTGTGAAATATTCAGTTTGTTTTTTTACGAGTTTGCCCATGGATTGATTGATATCAGTTAGAGAACCATTGAAAAACACCAGCTAGGAGTAATCGACAGCTGTTTCCTCCGTCCTAGTTTGGGACTCATCAGTTGTACGTATCCACCACCAAGGTTGGAACAATAGCGGTGGGTGCTTAGTGCCGATGGTTCCCAAACTAGGGATGGAGGAAACAGCTGTCCAATACTCCCAGATGGTAGTTTTTCAATGGTTCTCTAAGTGATATCAATCAATCCATGGTCAAACTTGTAAAAAAACAAATCTAATCCTTACAAACCAGCTTTTGAAAATTTAATTTATTGCATTAGGGCTTATGAAACTCGGTTATCAGTTGAGCTCTGTAGGTTATTCGTCAGTCATTAACCTGAATATTATCGAATTGTTTTCCATCATATTTTCATTTCTGTTTTAAACATTATCCCTTTAGCACAACAATAATTTAGAACAGGATATATATGGAAACAATATTGTTTTCACGAGTTTGACCACGGATTGATATCAGAGAGTACTGGACCGCTGTTTTATCCAAGTTCGTGATCTTCTCTATGCTTCACTCTAATTTACATAGCTGTATATACACAAGAACTTTAACCAATCACGGTGGGTTTGGGCACCAAATAATGATAATAGTAACAGTAGTAAGTATTAAATGTTCCGAACATCAGTATTAATGATGATTATAATGAGATAGCAAAAATAATGATGATAATGAGGTCAATGTTAATAAAAGTACAAGGAGTTTTATATGGGTGGTGAAAAGAATAACGAAAGTAGCAATATGTGTATATGTAGACAATTCAATAATTTAAAACAATTAGTTCCCTTTATGAATTTAGACAAAGCAATAAGAAGACGTAATTTGTCTGAATCGTGTTATGTTGTATTTCCGCAACACATTTCGAACAATCTGATCACACACATGGACTTGTCATAGGAATGAATATATATGAAATTGATAAAGAGTTAAGAGGTGAGAAAATACATTTAGGTCAAGTTGAAAGGACATATTGAAGGTCAAAATAACAATGAAGATCACTAAACCATATAAGAGAGGTAATAGTACATCTACCCTGGCTGGTATCAAAACAAAGTTTACCAAGGAAGGTTTAGTGTGATGACGAATTGTTGCTTTGATCGCGAAGACAGCTGTTGGTGAAAGTCTGTAGTTTGTTTGAGATGCTCTTTATGACGCGAGCAAGTCTGTGATCCACAAAGTAGCACTTCTATTCAACCATTACTGTTCAATAACCTGATGGACAAGATCCTACAGCTGACCAATTCTATGTACGTTTATCAATTCACCTGCTCGTGTGGAGCTAGTTACATTAGTCGTCCGACTCAGGTTTTATCGAAGAGGGTTCAAGAACACTATCCTGCATGGTTATGAAGAGGCTGAAGTGGAGCAATAAGAAGCGCGATCATTGAACACCTGGTCGATAATGATCACCCTATCTCTACAGCTTCAGTCTTTAAAGCCATCTACAAGACGAAAAGTAATTTACCCAAATCACCACGTATCCGACATCCATCTTTAATGCTGAAGCCATCTTTGGCCATCGAAACAGAGAAGCCAGAACTCTGTATGCAGAAAAAGTTCGTTCAACCCCTCCAACTTTCATTGTCTTAATCCCTATGTGCTAAAGTATAAGAACCCTCATTCATATTTTGTCTCCACTTATTTTTCGCTTTGTTTATTGAATATGTACACTATTCCTTTATTGCGTCAATTGTTATTATTATTATTCTCACTTTGAACTGTTGCCGGTATTATTTCACTCGTTCCGCTTGTCATTCTAAATCAGTTTTATTTTGCAACGTTAAGTTCTGTGTTACACAATGTTACGTGACGTTTTTATTTTGATTCTATTCACCTACTTATCCTATAATTGTACACCTCTTCCAATATCTATTTATCCTGTGAATTGTTCTATAAATGACATTAATTGTTTTACTGCTTGACATTTAACTATGAATTCAGGTGAACATAGAGAAAACAGATGTGGTGATGAAGATTCCTGGCCAACAGCAACATCCACAGCAAAATCAACAGACAGCAATCAGCAGAAATGGGAGAAATATCAAAGAAGTAACCTCCTTTACCTACCAACCGACACGGGAAGCATCGTTTCAACTATAGGACGACGGAACTGAGGAGGACATCAAAGTAGCGAGGATCGGGAAAGCAAGGACAGCTTTCCTTACTCTTAAGTCTGTGTGGAGGTCAACAGCACTCAGTGTGAAAATGAAAATAAGATGCGGATTTTCAACTCCAATATGAAGTCAGTGTTACTTTATGGATCATAGACTTGCTTGCGTCATGAAGAGCACCTCAAACAAACTACAGACTTTCATCAACAGCTGTCTTCGCGATCAAAGCAACAATTCGTAATCACACTAAACCTTCCTTTGATACATAACAGGGCAGATGTACTATTACCTCTGTTATTTGGTCTAGTGGTCTTCATAGTTATTTTGACCTTCAATATGTCCTTTTAATTTGACCTTAGTCTATTTTCTCACCTCTTAACTCTTTATTTATTTCATATATGTATTCCTATGACAAGTCTGTGTGTGATCAGATTGTTCGAAATGTGTTGCACAAATACATTACACACACGATTCAGACAAATTGCGTCTTCTTATTGCTTTGTCTAAATTCATAAAGGGAACTAATTGTTTTAAATTATTGAATTGTCTACATATATAGACATATTACTACCTTCGTTATTCTTATCACCACCCACATAAAACTTCTTGTACTTTTATTAACATTGACCTCAGTATCATTATTATCATTATAATCATCATTATTATTGATGTTCGGAACATTTAACACTTACCCTTGTTATTATTATTATTTGATGCCGAAACTCACCGTCATTGGTTAAAGTTCTTATGTATATAAAGCTATGCAAATTAGAGTGAAGTGTGAGGGAGATCTAATTGAAAACAATATTATTCTGTTTTTAACAGTGGTAATAACAATTGAACACAAACAAATGAGACATTAGATGACTGGAGAGAATCGGCCACAGGAAGCGTTGGACTTCCTGCCGAATGAATGCCTGCAACCATGTAATGCCAACAATTCAAAGTGCACCGTGTTGGCGAGCCACCTAGTGCATGGCATGGTGGCAATCACATTGCAAACTTGATTGATAGAATTCAGTCTGCACCAAAGATAGGACTAGACACACTAGACTAGTCACTGACTAGTGTCCAATCAAAGTACATATGAGGCAATTCGACAGGATAGCTTGTGTGTGTGTGTGTGTGTGTGTAGAAACAGGTTTAGAATGTAAGTGAAAATGTTATTGGATGGTAACTGGTGTAACAGTCAATCTCATTTTGTTAACCGAAGCTTTTAGACAAACTGTGGTACAGTGTATTTTAATATTGAATTCAAATTAGGTTTCATATTCATTGGCGGGACATTTGTAGACTTAAAAAAACAAAAGCAAATTCATGATCAACTTATTGATTAGGATCCAAACAAATTCAACCATCCTTTGCGTCTGTTTTCGTCTGTTTGAAAATGAATCCGCACTACTTCTTAAAGAAGTTGAACTTCACATCGAAGTATGCGCTGCAGATGTTGCTCAGTAGAGCAATGAAAGCTTCGCAACCAAACCATCCAGCTCAGAGAACACAACCACACCAAAAAAAAAGAAGTTGAACTTGAAAAATACACTAAAGTTAGCTGAACCGTTACGTCATACACTTAATTCATGAAGGTCAATCAACTCTAATGACTCTCAAAGTTATCATCCAGTGACCGATTCACATATATGATTCATTTTCAAGAGTTGTTTTGTAAGGATTAGATTTGTTTCTACGAGTTTGACCACGGATTGATATCAGTTAGAGAATAATTGAAAAACCACCATCTGGGAGTACTGGACAGCTGTTTACCCACTCCTAGTTTGGGAATCATCGGCAGCACGCACCCACTACCATGGTTCGAACTCAGGACCTTCCGGTTCCAAGGCAAGCTAACTCGTATACCATTCAGCCATCACTGCAACCCGACTCCTCAATGGCCAGCCAGCCCATGAATTCAATTGGTGATGTTTAGCACGACTACCAACCGATGTCATCGGTGGGAACTCGATCCTCACACTAGACTGGTTGGCGGACCTCACTGGTCACAACTTCTCACTAGAACTCCAACAAACTCAGTCCTGTAGCAAGTCACCAGCGAACATCAGACACTGGGTCAGAACCCAGGCAGTGGATGTGTACTGCCGATGATTCCCAAACTAGGAGGGGGGATGAACAGCTCTGTCCAGTACTCCCAGCTGGTGGTTTTCAATGGTTCTCTGACGGATATCAATCAATCCATGGTCAAACTCGTAAAAATCAATGATTCATTTTCATCGAGGAGTATTCATCATCCAGGTAACTTACTTGGTATAGAGTATCTTGCTAACAGACTATTAATATCTATAACAAAAAAACAAGAAAACTCTGGGAAGAAATCAATCAAGAACCCGAGCTCAACAAATATCCCGAAGAAAATGAAGGTGGATCGAATACACATCACTGAGGAGACTGTTTGGTAACAACGTGGGGTCAGCTGAAGAGGGCTACTGAAAACAGTACAACATAGAAATGTGATGCTGAGGCTCTATGTTCCACTAGGAACCCAAAGGAATATTTTTCTTTTTGATTATAGCTTGAAACCACACAGTAATTTTTGGTACGAGTATGGAATTTTCAGCATATGATATCGGTAGCCCAAATTTTGTAGGCCAACCATAGATATCAGGTGTGTGCCGGCAGAGGATCGAACTCCGGACCATGTGCATGGTCGGTGAGAGTCCTAACCGCTGTGCTACCGACACACATAATAATAACAATCATGATGACAAAACTTACAAAACATTATCATTTCAGGAATAATAAATGTAAGATAATAAAAAGTATATATCATACCTAGAATATTTGTTTGTGGTGTAGTTCCTACTACTCTTTCGTAATTTATAATTGTTATATTGTTTATTGAATCAGGAGTAGACGTATTCGAAAATCCAGATGGCTTGTAAGTGGTTGTCGTCTTAAATATAATATAATAATGGTAATAATATTAAGGAAAAACTCAATGTATAACCAATATAATATAAATATGTAGATTATTGCATAACTTTTATTCTGAAACACTTTAATTTATCATCACCCATCATAATGAATTCTTGTCTGGTAAAGAATAAATTGAAAAGTGGTTTTTTTTCCTTCACGTTCCCCAGTGGAACATAGGGCTTCAAGCCACTAGCTTGAAGTTTCTGTAGCAGTGTTAATTTTACAGGATAGGGTTGCTAGCCTCATGCCCAAACTTTCCTCTTCACCAGTATTATTTCTGGCTTATAGAGGTATAGGAGTGCGTCTCTGGCCGGGGATCGAATCCCGGACCATGTACATGGTCGACGAGCGTCCTAACCGCTATGCCACCGACGCAGAGCATTATCCACTAGACCACTTGGGCCACAGAAGAAGATACGGAAGAAGATAACCATATATCATGGAAGTAACTTACAATTATATGACTAACTTCTAGTCTGGATCACAAACTCAAGAGAATAAAAGCTTTACTGATGTTCATATTACCTAATCACCAGTTATTAGCTACAGATCCCATGAAGACAACAATAGCGTCCCAGGAGTGAGAACGCTTCAGTGACCTTGAACGCATTCTAGTGGTTGGCTAACGCCACCTGTCATTATCATATCTGAAATATCAACGCTATTCACCAGCTAGCTAAGCAGCAAATTTCACCCGGATCACGTTTTTAAGTAGTGCTTGGACATTGTGTTAATAGCTCGTTAGGGTTAGGATTATGGTCATAACTAGCATTAGGGTAAGGTTTACGGTTAAGATAAGGGTTGTAATTAGGGTTAGTGTTAAGTTTACGGTTAGGGTTACGATTAGGTGTAGATTTAAAGTTGATGGCATTTATTTTAATTTGTTCTATTATCCACATTTTCCTGATAAGTAGTCGTCAAGTCTCTTAATGGAAACCATAGTAATTCAACCGAGGGCTTTATGGAGGACTGCAAAAGAGGATAAGAGAGATAAACAATTCACAAAAACAGCTCATCTTCAGTCACCTCGGTGAATACATGTACAGGAACTAGTCTAACTTAGAAACTAATATTCCTCATTATAACTGGGACATATTTTTTAGTTACGTCAGAAATAGATACCCTGTTTAATGTGTTTTCATGCATTTTCTTGTAAATAAACGACATTTTTGAGTAAAAATTCACCTATGTTTATGATTGGTCGGCTGAAGGCGACTGTAGCTTGAAGTCCTATGTTCCACTGGGAACGTAAAGGAAAAAAATATTTCAACGAGGGTGTTTAAGGAGACACCCGGTTTTATGAACCTGTATCTGGTGATTTGATGCTTTGAATGGAGTTTAACCCGGTGCATCGGTGATAAGGTCGATTCAAAAGAGGTGGGTTTTTAGATAAATTCGGTCTGGTTGGAATACCCCCGGTAGATAACGTATCTGCCTGCAACACTAATTGATATATATATATATATACATTTCAAACTCAGAAGGAATATCACTTCCCTTGAGCTCTCTGATACACCTTGCTGACTAGTGCTCATACGGACATTGTTTTTCCTATAAGCAAGCCGTTAAAAACTCCTCGCTTATATTTCAACATAATATCACCGTTATTGCATCCCAAATATATCTATGCTGTGTTGTAAACATTTAAGATATTTTCTACTTCAAAATGTTGTCTCACTTTCTCAGTGATAATCCATGCTTCTCAGTGTGATTGATGTTAAATGGATCTGCACTAGGGTTGCGGGTTGGAAGGGGGGACGGAATTATATGGTATATCACGTTTATTTTTTGAAGTGGCGCCATCTGTTTTATCCGGTGGGTATATATTTTGTCACCTTTGAGTAAATAATCCAAAAAAGATTAGCATAATAATCTCATGAAAAATCTAAAAGTACACGTTTAACTTTTGAACATGTTACCTCCTCCTTTAATCGATTCTACAATGCTCAGATATCAGCATCAGGCAACATATTATGATATAAAGTGCAGAAAATGTTGTAACACGCTTCAAGAACATGATGACACAGAAAATGTTATCAGAAAAAAAGAGTTTTTCAATGCTTCTCTAACTGATATCAATCAATCCGTGGTCAAACTAAAAAAATAAATCAACTCTTGAAAACTAATCTGATGCTTGTTAGTGACTTGCTATAGGACGGAGGTTCCTGCAGTTTTGGTGAGAAGTCGTGACCAATGAGGTCCATCCAGTCGAGAGTGAAGGTGGATTTCCCACCGATAACAGTGGTTGGTGATCGCGCTAAACTCATCACGAATTGGTAGAAGTTAGAATTCATGGGCTGGCTGGCCATTGAAGAGTTGGGGTCCCAGTGATGACTGACTTGTAAACGGAAGGTCCTGGGTTCGAACCTTGGCGACGGGTACGTACTACTGATGAGTCCCAAACTAGGAGGAGGTAAACAACTCTATCCAGTACTCCAGCTGTTGGTTTTCAATGGTTCTCTAACTGATATCAATCAACGAATCAAATCCTTAGAAATCAAGCCTTAAAAGTTTTCTTAATGTAAAATTTCTTTACAAAAGCATATAAAAACGCATAACATTATCACTAAAGCACCATAGCAACGGACTACGACGCTACAATTGACAGGGATAGGCAATAAAACCACCCGTATCCTTTCGTGTCTTTTTCTCTCTCTGTGTCCCTCTCTTCCCCTGTTTGAATGCTACCACTTAACTAGGACATAAATTATTTTCTAAATTTCCATTCCGTGTTAATCCTAATCCGATCACATGACCGATAATTAAAATAAAATCTTTTCTTCACAAAATATTTAAATGAGCGTTGAGTATACGAACTTCAAATAATTAAATATATGGACAAAATATTTCTTATAATTTGTTTGAATAAATTATCCATATATATATATATATTATATATATATATATAAATTCACGGATTTGTTTCCTTGGTGGCAGCAATCAGTAGCAATATATAAAGATATATCTTGCATTTATTATCATCACGGGACTTGAGTTAAGCATAGAAAGAGATTAACAAATCTACACAGTGGCTGACGCCTGATGTTTCTCATGTTGTTTTCTTTAGGTAGAAATAGGGGGTGTAAAGCGAAGCAAGATAAAAGCCAAGATCTTTGTTATCATGCAATTATATATTTATATATTGGAGAAGAGAAGTCATCTTGTGATGATTATTTTGTAACAACAGAAGACAAGGGTCAGGAAACAGATTGTTTTTTGAGAAAATCAACAGATATTTATAGATTTTTATGTACATTATTATTAGCGTTCTTGTTAGCAGAGAACCAACGTCTTCTGATTGGTTGTTTTCTCGCTGAAAGTTAGTCTGCCCATCTCTTTGTGGCCATTTCTTTGAAGGTCAGACCATATATCTCCTAATCGTATCCGCCCACGCTAAGTCTACTGTGACTGGTTGTTGAATTCCTCAAGGTTAGTCTTTGTTCTTTTCTAATGGCCAGGATTTGGGACGTAAACATTGACGTAAATTTCTGTCTACCAATTTTGGTTAGCAGACAGCTGTCACCACAAAAAAAGACACCACACTACTCTGTAACCATCCTTCCTACAGTTCATTTAACCCATTTTTACTGACTTTCAGTTAGCATTTTTCACCAAGGATCAATGTAACCATGGAAAACCATTAGATACGAGGAAGCATTGAGCAGTTGCATATATTTAATTTAGTTTGAGCATTTAACAGTCTGCACCTACAAGCTGACGTGCAACAGACCCCAGATCCGCCTGGAAAATAATGTACACTTGCTTGTCTTGAATCAAGAAAAATCGAGGTTGAGGATACTATTGAAATAAAAAGTCTATAAATATATTGGAATCCTAGTAGAAATCGTTAAAAAAGTGTACCATGAATGTGAATTTTAAATTTTGACGGTGAACTCTACCGACACAGGTGGATGGAGTGACGATGGGCTCTCCTCCATTCGATCCTATGTTAGCAGATTTCTTTCTGAGTAAACTAGAAAGTGGTCCTTCGAACAACCTTAACAGCAAATTCTCATTTTACCAACTGCATATCGATGATACTTTCATTCTTTGTGGGAAATGATTCGGCCAAGAACGCGGTAATATCTCAATTCAATGAAGTACTTCCTCTACCTATCAAAATCACAAGTGAAGAAGAATCTTAAAGAGGAATTACCATTTTAGACGTCCTAATGACAAGAAGACCAGATGGTAGCAAAAAATAAAAATGTGCATAAGAAAAGTACTTGAACCGATCGATATTCCACACTTTCACAGCTTTGTTCCTCTCAGGTATAAAAGAAATTTGGTAAAAAAATCCTCAGCTACAGGATCAAAGCTGTGTTTTCAGAAGATGCGACCGAAGACGAACTTAAAGATGCATTATATTATTTTATTCCTGTACGTCCCCAGTGAAACATAAGGCCTCAAGCTAGAGGCTTGAAGTTTCTGCAGAAGTGTTTATTTTTGCAGGATATGGTTGCTAGCCTCATGCCTAACCTTTCCTCTTTACCAACTTTTATTACTGGCTTAGCGAGGTAAAGGAGTATGTCAGCCGAGGGTCAAACCCTGGATCACCTGCGTGGTTGGCGAGCATTTTACCGCTGTGCCACCGACGCCAAAGATGCATAAGACACGTTAATTGAAAACAGCTACCCTGAAACGTTCACCATGAAACTAGGATAGTTTTCTTCCCTACTTGTCAAGAAGAAGTCTCTCTATATATACGACCACAATTCAGAGGTAATATACATCCAAGTGAAATATTAACCAACAAGTTGAGCAAAATCGATTCAGAAAAATGTTTACTGCCGGTAAACTGCAGCTCATATTTTTCACACACAACTAGTTATCATTCGAAACTGAAAGATGAAGTAGTTAGGGTAGCCGGCCACCTCTAATTGTATCTATCAATTCAACTACTCCTATGCAGCCAGTTGTATTGGCCATAGCTATAGGAACCTAACTTTTCTTGCTCTCTCGGTAACACTTACCGGT